TTGAAGAGACGGGGGAAACTGAGTCACCGAGTTAGGACAGGCCATGGCCCAGCTCACACGGCCAGCCGAGGAGAGTTGGGAATCAAACCATTTGTTAACCCCCAATTTAATGATCCTATCACAAAACCTGGTTGCTCTCTGCTCCTTGAGATCTTATTGCAGGGATCTCTGGTAACCTCCACCGAGGTCTACTTGTATGATTTTCAATATGACCAAACTGGCTGTATTCCAGCTCCATACCTGGATCTGGACCAGGTTTCCAAATTCCTTCTCTCAAGGGATCCATACAGAGAATTAAATGCCCTGAAGATAATGTGGCACCAGTCCAGTGCTGCTGACCCAGGAGGCTCCGCTCCATTAGCCCCAAAGCATTGCTCGCCACTAATGCTTTCAATCTGTCATTGCAAGTTTTGCTCCTCAATAAACACACACACAAAAGTAATTTATGAGACCTGTGATGTGAAATGTGCTTTACTGCAGCTGTTTAAGAGCAGCTGCTGATTGTACCCTGTGGGTTGACTGCAGGGCAACTATTTTTGGAAAGCTGCTGTCTCTTGAAATCAGGAATCTCACGTAGGATGGACAGGCTGGGATAGGGGTCCCAACACCTGCAAATGTCCCACCGTACAGCCCCAAAGCTGGAAACCAGCTCTAAATTGAATGTGATAATTGCTCTTCTCTCACATCCTGATGCAATTTTGTCTTGAGGGATGCCGACTGTCTCTTGCTCTGTTTTTCAGCACTTTTAGCCCATTGAGAACCTTCTCTCAATCAGAGATCTCAGACAGTAGCAAAATAAATAAGAGGACACGCTGAGATTGGGGATGCGATCAAAGCAAGCATTGGAGCAAAGAGCTATGTATGACTCAGGAGAGTTTTGACTGCCCTCAGAATATTCTGTTGACCCATGACAACTGGGATAACCAAGAAGAAAAGGAGAGGTGCATTCATCAGTGGAAATGCTGCTACTTTTATTCGGACACTGTACAGCTACAAACCTGCAAGCCTTCTGCTCCCCCAAGCTGCCCCACACAGCATCAGGAGTGCTGGGGGCTTCACAGAGCCCACATCCTGTCTCTCCTTCTGCAGCTGCCAAAGCAGATGTCAGTGGTCAGCCCTGCAGCGCCTCTTGCCACAGAGCAACRCCATTTGAATGTTTCTAATCTAATGCCCTTGTACTTGTGCCTAGATGCCTCACAGTCCAAGGCATTTGAAAAAAAAGCCCCTCTTTCCCCAAGTCCTTGGGCAGCGTCTTTGTTAGATCAATGGGAAGTGAAATCCACAGGCGTGAGCTGCCGAAGGTGGTTGAAGTGCCTCTTGAAGATCTTCTGCAGCACGTTCTTTCTGGGTTTCCCAGCAGGGAACTCCAGGCTGGAGCTGCTCCTCTGACAGGCCACCTCCAGGAACCAAGTCTCCTGCTGCCTCTCAGTCTTCTCGGCTTCCTTGCTTTCCACAACATCTCTTATCTGGAGGTCTCTTAGTGGGCTAGTGTGTCTCCTGGGCATGGGAAGCCCTCTTGGCTCACGGCTTCCTTTGCCATCCTGGTGACTGATGACATGGGGACCTGCCTGCTTGCAGTCTCTCAGGTCTCCACGCATCTGGGAGCAACCATTTCCACCAGCAAGAGGCAGCTCAGGCTGTCTGCAGCTTGGAGGCTTCTCCTGGGAGGCAGGATGTATCCTGTGAGGATAGGCAGGACACAGAGCATAGCTGGAGTCCAAGTGAAGAAACAAGGCCTCTTCACTGGTGACCTGCGGGCTCTCCCCCAGGCTGACAAAACCGTATGGGGTGGTGATCTTGGGGAGATGAGGCAGGGACAGGGCTGCCCGGGCAACAGGGTCTGGGATGGCCTCCAGCGTGGCAGCGAGCTCAGCGTTGGAGCGGGGCTGGCTGAGTGCTCCCTCTGTGACGGGGTCCGAGCTGCTCCTCCAGGCTGTCCGCACAGGCTCCCCCTTCTCCTCGCCCAAGCGCCTAGGCCTCTTGTGGCTCTCCAAGGAGGGGATAACAAACTGTGGGATGCGATCAGGGGTCACCACGTAGTGRAAAACATCCCTGGAGCTCTTGTCCTGGAGCAAGCGGGAGCAGGGCATCACCTTCCCATGCGGCATCTCTGGAGCGACGGGTGCCAGCTGTGCTGGTCAGGTGTGTGGCTCCTGCAGGGCTCCCTGCAGCAGCAACTCGTATTTATGCTCTCCGCTCAGCCCTGATTGCTCCCTGCCCAGTGACGCTCCGTGACGACTGCTGCCAGCTCACTGCTCCGTCTGAATCCAACCTTTCATCACCCATCCGACAAAGGGGAGGCGGCTGAAGAGGGACACAAGAGGAGACACTTGTCCCCAACCTCTGCTCCTGCCCTCCTTCTCACGTGCAGGGCCACTAGTGCCCCCAGGCTCCTGTCACCCGTGAGAAAAGAGCATGGAGATGAGGAGAGGGGACACTTCAAAGATGCAAAGAATGGAAAGAGCTGCCTGACCCTGCAGAGCTCGGGGCAGAGAGGGAGCAGCTCATGGAGGGGAGAAGAACAAATGAAGACAGCATTGGCCTTTCCTGGGATGAGTCATCTGTCTGTGGGCATCAGGTAGAGCAAAGCAAGAAAGCGGAGAGCAAGATAAAATCACTGTGCAGCTTCCCTTCCCTTCCCTTCCCTTCCCTTCCCTTCCCTTCCCTTCCCTTCCCTTCTTCTAATAAATCTCCCATCAGGAAATTCTCCACCTCAGTCAACCCAGTTATTGAGGTGAATCAACATTTTCAACAGCCTTAGCCCCCCCCAAACCTTCTTCCCGTCTCTGCTGTTGCTTGGGTTGTGCTCGTTCTTGTTTCTCGCGGGCTCGTTGTGTTTCTGTCTCTGCTGGGGGAGGCTCAGGTTGCAGGTAAGCATCAGTCACCGGCGTCCCTGGGTCTGCCCCAGGTGGCTTCCCCAGAGGGGCCTCTGTGCGTGGCCATGGCCACCACGGCCCTTGTGCTTCCTCCAGGCAGGGAACATGAAACTCGCTCTCTTAGCCGTGCTGAAATCAAAGAGGGCTTTGTCCTTTCTTCTCTCGCAGCTGGGCAGCGGCAAAGCCACAGAGCTGGATTACCGAGCCCCAGTCCCAGACAATCAGTGCTTGCTAATGAAGTCTCCTCTATTAGCAGGTGGATAAAGGCTGCTTTACAACTTTTCCTCCCCTGGAGACTGTGCAGAGATATAAAACATCTCAGTTTCTGTACAGCGCCTTGTCTGACTCCAAGCACCGTCTAGCTGACCCTGCAGCAACACACATTGGCCTGTTGTAACCTGAAATAAGTTACCCTGTCCTGCACACCCCCTTCCCTGCAGTTCTTGCCCCTACTTCTCTTTCCCTTGTTCTCAAGAGAGTTTTGTGGACGGTTCCAATAGGAGCACAAGTGAGGACAGTCTTTTGGGGCACCAGTGGAGGTTAGGAGTGTGGACAAGTCAAGGAGACTGTCCTAGAGCGTCATAAACAGTCATGTCCCGATTTCTATGGGGGCAGCAGAGATGGGTACCTGAAACGATGTGGCTCTGGACTGTGTGGCAGCCACCCCAGAGCTGGTGGCACCAGTTTTGATGGCAGGGCTGCACGCACTCTGCAATGGCTCAGATGTTGGCATGCTGATTTCAGCTCCAGAAGGTTCCCCCGAGCGTGGCCTGCTGCCTCTGAGCACTGCCCTGCTCAGCTGGATGCAGCAGCAGATGTGCACCCTGTTATCCCAGCTCTGCACCCTGCACCCCAGGGACCACGCCTGCTCTCGTGCTTTGCTTGCAGCGGAGTGGAAGCCGAAGATGATAAAGTGGCACCCACAAATGCCCTTCTCTGCTCCCAAACTATCTGCTCAGTAGAAATCTCATCAGCTGAAGATCCATCAGAGCAGAAACGTGACTCGAGCCCACACGTGGCTGTGTACTGCAGTGGCCAGTTTAGCCCAAGCATGTGGCAGCATCCCTGCTTCGCTGGACAAACCATCCACACGAGGCAGGGCTGAGGAGGAGKATGCTCAGCGGGGCCTTCAGGTGTRCGGCAGAGAGAGGACACAGCCTGCACGGCATCCAGACCTCAGCCATTCTACCACGCGAAGGCTCTGCTGCAGAGCAGCCTCTGGAAATGCTGCTGGGGGGTCAGATGCCTCTGTTTTGTGAAGCGGAGTCTGTGTGTGTGTGTGTGTGTGCATGCACGTTTCATGCAGGCCTAAGAGCTGGCTAATTGAATCAGGCTGAGGTTTCAAAGGATCGGGTTTACTCTCTTCCTTTCATCTTTATTGACTAAAATAGATCCCAGCCCCAGCTTCCTCCCAGCCTCGGAGCAAAGGGAGGGCATAGACGGAGCGATGACGGATGCTGTGGTGCCTGCGCTGCCCTGGAGCCCACCATGGGGGGCTCAGAGGGGCAGGATGCCTGCAGAGCTGTCCCTGCAGCGCCCAGTGCTCAGAAAGAAGCATTGTGAGCATCCCTCACAGTGCMTGGACATGCAGAACAAGGAGTTTGCAGGTCAGGCTCCTTTCATGGAGCTGCTAGAAGTGCTACTCAAGGGTGCTCAAGTAGTACTAGCTGAAAGGGTACTTTTGGATTCTCCTATGCCATTACAACTGCAGCAATGGGCAATGAAGCACCACATTTTTCAAACCATACCAGCATCTAGACACAAAAAAACCCTGCTGCACATCTGAAAAGCTGCTGCTGGCATCTCATCACCCTCTGCCTTGCGTTTATGTCTGTCAGCGTGGGGTAGGGGAAGGTGGCCCCGATCAGCATCTCGGTAGCGCAGCCCAAAACTCCCAACAAGAGACAGACACACCTAAATTCAAAAAAAATAAGCCCCTAATTCAGGTCTATCTCTCTTAAACAAAATGCCAAGAGCAGGACTCTTGCTAGAGAAGCTCCTCATGAGAGAGCACTAGGCTACGTGGCTGATTAGTGGGGCCTGCAGGTCATCAGTGCAATGGGGAACAGCTGGGCCAGGGCCTACATTTACCATGCTGGCCACAACGTGGACCAAGCCAGGTTGCTTTCCAGTTCAGTGTATTTGGCTTTATTGAGCAGCAAGCAAGGCCTGGTATGCTCCGTGCCAGTGCAGAGCTCCTCCAGGTGCTAAAGGGATGGTTTCTGCTGGGGGTAATGTTGGAATTGCTGTAGAGGATGTCTGACCTTTCTCCCTTTGTATTTAGGGGAGGCAAGTAATCTGCAAAGAGCCCTCCTCTCTCTTCAGCAGGTTCTTATGCCGTGTTCTTCAGCTGAGTTTTGTCCAGAGCCTGGTAGGTGATGTGTTTTTGCTGATGGAGAGGTGAAGGTGAAAGGAGGATAAAATTCTGAGGCTGCAGGTTCTTTTCCATCTCTCTGTATTTTGATCCTCTCTGCTCTTTTTCTTTTATTTTCTTTTTGCCTCATTTTGCCATGCTCTGCAGGTAGTGTTGCTCATGCTCTGTTTTTTACTCCTTATCTCATTCCATCCCATCTTGCCCCCTCCCTAGCTTGTTCTTGCTTTTCTCCTCTTCTACTAACAGTGGCTTGCTCTGTGCTCTGAGCAATAGATGTGTTTTATGTTTTTTCTGCTTTTCTGACTCAAACAAGCTGTAGAGAAGGAAAGGGTTTTTTTTTGTTGTTGTTGTTTTGGGGTTTTTTTGTTTGTTTGTTTTTGTTTGTTTGCAGTTAAACAGCCTCTCTCTTGCTAGATSAGAGCCTAAGGATCTGCCCAACTGCTCTTCCAGTCTGGGGTTACTGGGTTTGTTCTTCAGGTTTGACTCTGGAAGCTGAGCAGTCACAAGGTGGGAGCACTAGTTGCTGGTGGGGAAGCCGAGTACACTGGTCCGATGTGCCTGCTCTGAAGAGCACCTGGGTGAAACTTGTTCTTGCATATAGGAAAGCTGTGATCTAGCAGACTGTGGAGTCTTGTGGTATTGACATCTCTCTCAGCCTCTAGGCCAGAAGAGCTGGGAGATATCTGGGAAGAAGATAGATAATTTGTTGTCTGTGGCCAAAGTTGATTCCAGTCTCAGCAGCACACTGCAAGAGCGGGTTGTTAGGGTATCATTAAGGAATTTAACGAGCTGGAAGGTCTTTCATTGCCTAATGCAATTCTCTTATTTGCAGCTGAAGGTCCTTCARAAAGTATCAGTCTGGGTTGGATTTGTGGTCCCTGTGGAGATTATTGTCAGCAAGTGTCAGCCCACACAGTCTCCCAACAGGCCTGGATGGCTTGCTAAGAAACGCCGAGGGAGACTAGCACGCCTCCTCTCTTCTGTCATCCCCACGAGATTCCAAAATATCCTGGGCCATCTGCCAGCAGATTGGGGCCAGAGCAACATGCCCAAAGGTAAGAGAGCAGGCTTTCTGGGGGCACTACGAATGATATCAAAGCAGATTGAGTCTAGAGCTGATGTGCTGGGTAGAAAGTGATGAAACAAGAATGTACGTGTTTACTCACCATGAGTTATGATCATATCTCCTATGAATCTCTGCAGAAATCCTAGAAACTCTGATCAATCCATCTAACAAAGCAAACAAGAGGAAGAGGGATGATGTAGCTCTGGAAGAACAGGAGTCCTGGGTGGTGGTGCTAGAGAAAGACTTGCTAGAAGATGACTCTGAAGACATCACCTACGAGGTATGAAGTTCTGGTGCTGGATAGAGCAGTTCCTTGGGCCCTGAGCACATGCGAGATAAATGTTTGGCCTTTGTAGACTGGGAGTGTCACTGCATAGACCTGCAAAGTCGCTTGTGCTGAGCTGCTGTGTGGAGAGCTATAAAGAAGCTTCCTCTATCATATACCCTCAGGGACTGTAGGTTACCCAAAAATCACTTGAACGTCACATCCACAGTGTCTGAAGAGTGTGGGTACCATGCTTGCACCATATCACAGACATCATTAATGTTTGCTTTTGATGAGCATTCCTGCAAAGTACATTTTGGCCTGTTTTTGCTCTTTTAGCATGGTCTCCTCACTTCTGCTTCCAAAACGAGGTCTGTACATTCCTTCTCACAGAATCTTTTCTCCCATAGCCATCAGAAGTGGAAACAGATAGTGAGGAGTACAGGTCCCAGAATGACACTGAGACAGACTTGGAGTTTGAAGAGCAGGAAGGGGCTTTAGTGCTGAAGGAATCATCAAATCTCCAGGTGAGTGGACTGGTGCAGGCTGCAGGATATTTGCTGCAGAATATTTTCTTTCTGTAAGTACTGTCACTCAAAAAAAATCCTCCAGTCATTGCCTCCTTGGCAGCAAAAGGAAAGGTAAGCAGTCCAAGGCTCTGACCTTCATGACTTCCTGTGGTTGACCAAGTGTTTACAAGCCCTTGTGAAGAAGGTGGAGAGACATGAGACCTGTATCCTTACCCTGCAAGCATATTGGTATGGTTGCTGCTACAGGAGTCCGGTCTTCCCTGTTCACCTTGATCAGAGCTGTCTGGACTTGCTCAAACTCTTCTGAACTTCATAAGATCCTTAAGGGTTTTCCTGTCCTTACAATGAGCTGCAAGCTGAATGTACCCCCTTATTCTTCAGGTGGAGGATGTACAGGTGGAGAACACGGGTAGCAACAGTCCAGAGGCCCAGGATGTGAGCACAGAGGGGCAATCGGTGGCTCCAACTGTCTCCAGCAGTGGGGAAGACGCTCCAGATGTCACTAGCAGTGATAATGAGGATGCCCGAAGGYCACAGGCTGAGAGCAATGGTGATGGCAGCTCCCAGGAGCAGGGAGCTGATGCAGATCACAAAGGGAGCAGCAGTTTGTTGCAGAATGAGGTGAGGACTTTTCTGTGCCAAGTAATGGCTTATTGCACCCTTTCTTTGTAGAGTGGGAGATGTRTAGATGTGTGGTAAGCTGTCTGGGCTCAGAGGCCTTCTTGCTTGGGAAGCAGTTATCCCTGAGCCTTTGAGGCATAGATCTGTATCCTCATCACTATCATGTGGGCAAGATSAGTGTTATGGGGGCTGTAGGCGTCCTCACTGGAGAAGGAAATGTCGTCAGTCCCAAGTATGCTGTTGATGCCAGACGTGCTCAATGCCCAGGGTACCTCCCTGTCCTGTGTGACAGGACTGCCAGGTGCCTGTTGAGCATCTTGGGTTGGTACGCAGTGCCAGCCACTTCTGACCCAAAGGCTCTACCAGCAGGTCACAAGTATCTATTGATGATTTACTGGCCCAAATGTCTTCCATTCTTAAAATGGAAAGAATCTGTGGGAGTCATCACTAATGACACTTCATAGGTTTCTCTGTTGCCCTAGACCCATCTAGTTCACTGTTCTAGCCCCAGAGCACTTTATTAATAACCTTCTGGTTCTATTCACACTGGTGCTAAGCAGCTCAGCTTGCAACAAAATGGATAGGTAGAGTTGCTGAGCAAAGCAAAGCTGAACCACCACCCCTGCAGTGTTGGTAGGAGCTGGTAATGGTGTTCATGGTGAAATCTTTTCCTTTCTAGGATAAACAGGAACTCTGATCTCCTCATTGTGCCCAGGTCTCCGCATTGTGGCTATGAGGTGCCTGGTTCTCTGTGGCCRCTGCGCCATGTGAGTAAACTGTCCAGTTGAATGCTCTGTTAATATTTTTGAACTTAACAATAAAATTACCCTATTTTTTTCATGTGAATCAAGAAGCAATTGGCTCTCTGGAGATGGCAGGCTCTGTGTACCAGATGGCATGATCATATGGCTGCTCCTAGCCAAGGGTATGGGACAGAGCTGCTCTCCCACAGAGATCAAGTGGGAATTGGAATGTCAGTGGGACCTTCCAATYGGATTGCCCCATGGGGAAGCTTTTTACAGACCCAGAAACCCTGCAAATGACACTTCTGTCAGTAAGAAAGGTAGCAAGTCTCCAGCCTTGGAGGGGGAGGAAGGGTGGACAGAACAAGCATCTCTGTGTAGAGCCCAGAGTATTTCTCACTGGGTGCTTATGGTCTCTTGTCTGCTTCTTGGTTCCTATGGCTGTGTRTTTCTGTAAGGCTCCTTCTTTCAAATGGATAGAGAGAGGACTCTGGCTTGGTGTAAGAGTGGAAGGTGATCCAAGGCCTAAAAAGGCAGGTTTGGCCCAGGAGGTGTGTGAACACAACCTGTAGCTATGGAATGACTTAGACATGTCCAGCAAGTTATATGGACCAAGTCACGGTAACCAAAACTGAAAGGAGGCTCTGTCTTCCAAATGTGACCTGAGCAATGGGAGAGGCTCAAGGAGAATATGCTCCATCACTTTAGATCTGTCTGTGTGCCTGGTGCCTTGTGTCACTGCCTTGAGCTAGATTTGCATGTGAACAAGCAGTCCCTTGGGCTAACAGTGTTCTAACTATTAAAATAACTGTGGCATCCTGCAGCAGGAATATTCTGTTGACTGAGCTGAGCTCTCCAGCAGACTGAACTCTATGCAGTGCAAATCCTTCCTTCTCTGGAGATCTTCCAAACCTGCTTGGATGCCACCCTGTGCCACGTGCTCTAGGTGACCCTGTGTGTGCAGGGGGGTTGGACTAGATGATCTCTGAGGTCCCTTCCAACCTTAAGGATTCTGTGAAATGCTGCTGGCCAGGTCTAGCATGGCAGCAAGATGGTAAATTCCACCYTGCTAACATAGTAGTCTCTGTATTTGAGCCCTGCTAGGGCTGAAACACCTGAGGAAGAGTAAACTTCCACCCCCCTAAGCTCTGAAAGGAGCAGAGSGTATTAAAACACCCCAAGGTTTTGTTCTCATACCTTGCATTGCTTATAGGCTACAGGAAAGAGCAGGAGTTAAACCTGASAGAGTTCAAAGGCAGGGCTGTAATGAGGCTGGAAGTGTCCCTGTTCCCAGCCCCTGCTGGGTCTCAGCTGAATCAAAGGCCATCACGTGCTAATCTTTTTCTAATTAAAGATTGCTTTATCTTCCAGAGGTAGCTTTGAGGCATGTTGTGGTCTGTGCATCCTTTYCTGAAGGGCTAAAGCAATCTTGCAGAGGGCTGCTCTGGCGAGCAGTGAATCTCTTTTCAAATCCTTTCATTTGAAATTATTAGCTGAGTCGGGACATCTGTCCTAGGGCTGCAGCTCCGAAATCTCTTGGGGGCTCTAAAGCAGGTTTTCCCTAGGCCAGGTGCTAGTAGGGCAGCTGGCATTGAGGTTGCTCCTTGTGTATCTGCTCCAGTGGAGTGTGGAAGGGCTGTGCCTTAGGCTGGACAGAGCTGTTTTCCTACAGGTTAGACCAGTAGTTTTTACACCATTAGCATGCTAAACGGTCCTGAGTCCCAAAACTTGGGTAGTTGCTGAGCTGTTCAATAACCTCCACCATGGTGGTGTTTCCAAAATGTAAGTGTGCCTCTTACCTTGCATTCTCTGTGACTACCATAACACTGGTGTCCCGTGAATAATAGCAAGACTTTATCCTAAGGCTGATAAAGGAGCTGATATTGCAACTCATGGATACTATACTGGGTTCTGCCTTAATTCAATTGCTCCTYATTTGTGTTTGCTAGCTCTTGGGTTTTCTGCAGCCAGCACTTTCAAAGAAGAGATAAATAATTCTTTAGTGGCACGCAGCTAGCTAAGGGCTTTCCTCCCAAATCTGTGCAGGATTTTCATGCTTGCTCCTGTGCTTTACCTCAAATTCCAGCATTATTAAGGAGGTGGCTTTGTTCATTGTCTAAGTGCCAGGCTGTAGAGTGATCATGCTTTAAAATTTGCAGGCCATGGCCTTGCACTGAATCTGGCTCTTTGAGATCACCTGCAAATYGATCCTGTGTGCTCCTGTCTGTTCAAATCCTCCTGGAGTTCTGCTTTTAAAAAGGAGAAATCRGTGTGGTGCATGTAAAATGGCTTGGTGGAGTGAGAACTAGATGCAGAGCTGTTATTCCAAGGTCATCACCTTGAATTGCATCCAAGTAGGTAGGTGGTGCATGTTGGTGTTACCAGTGAGGCCAGGTGTGGTGATGAAAGGGGGTGATTTGAGGGTTACTCGAGCAAGAGAACCCAGAGAGAGAAGGTGTGGAGCCTGGGAGGTGTGTAAATGGAGATCTGGCTTCTGCTAACAGCTCYGRTGGTTTTGATACCTGAGATGAAACMGCTTGTGCTCTCCCATCCTCTTGCTAAGGGCCATGCATAGGAAACCCTCTGTGCTCCAAGTCARGGCAGGTTATGTCTCTAATTAGCCCTTTCTTCTGGGTGGGAATAATGGATCTAGAAAATAGCAAGGAAAATCCTCATTACCCTGCTGCTTGTCCCTGGTGTTAGGACAGTGACAGCCTGGGTGTCTTSTCAGAGCAGCCCCCCTCTTGTGGTGGCAGCCAGGGTGGGCTAGTGAGGGGCGGCASTTGCTGGAGCAGCTGCCTGGCCCTGGCAGGGCTGCAGAGAAGCAACACAGAAACAAGGTTCCCWGGTCTGGGAATCCTGTGTGGTTGTGAATGAACTGCCCTAAACACACACGTGAGCATGGGTCTCACTTGGCTGCAGTAGMAAAAGGCCTGTAATGTCACAGAAACACAATCATTATTGAAGAGCTTTTATAGTGATTCAGCATGCTTCTGTGGTAGCCCTGCTCACCAGGGTGTCGCAGGATTTTCTTCTCTTCCTTTTCCTCTCTTTTGAGGCTCTGAACCTTCTTTTTAACCTGMGTCTTGGTGGATAGGGTAACTGACTGGGGCAGCACGGGGATGAAGGGAGAATCTGTCCCTGCCAAAGGCTGTGATTCTCTGCAGAATGTCTCCTCTTACTGCTGTCCATGGCTGCATCTCCCCCTTGGCTGGGAAGATGGAGAGATCCTTCCCAGGCTGTAGAGGGAGACTACTGGAAGCCCCTTGGGTTTGTGGGGCACGTGAGGAGCACCCTGATTTAGCAGGTTGTTGAGCTCTGGTTGTTGCATGGAGGTGCTCAGTATCCTCCTTGCTCTCTAGGAGGCCTAGAAACCCCTGAGAGGGGGTGTGGGCTGTACCCCTGTTTTGTTCGGGTAGTGCCTTGGCCCAGGGAATGAGTATTGCCTGAGCCTGGTTTTTGTGCAGGCTCCACTCATCCTTTCTACAGGTGCTAAGAGCTGAGATGACTGTGGTGAAAAGCAAGGCTCTGGGGCTGTGGAAGATGGATTGAGTTGCGTTGAGGACCAGCTGCCCTTCTTGTCCTGGAAGCTTCTAATCACTGTTTTTGAGCTGCACTTCTGTATTCCCTTCCACAGCTCAGAAGGGTTGAGACTGGGAACATCAATGGCTGCCAACCATGGCCCAGTGTGCATGTTCACCACTTGCCTTGAACACGCCATGCTTGGAAACAAATCTAATGCATCTCTGCTCTGGGGTCCACTTGACTTTAGCAGGTGACTCCAGGGCCAGGCCCATCTACCTGCTTCTACCTTCTGAACAAAAAGCTCTCCTCTAGCTCACTCCCTAGAGAAACATAAGTGCTTTGAGAAGACAAAGATATCCCAGGACAAAGAAGGGGAAGAGGATTAGGAGAAARGAAGAAGCAATTAAGAAGTTGGATAGTGGTAGGAGGATGAAGAAATAGAAGGCAGCATTTGAAGAGAGCCTGAAGGAGTGAGTGGAGGTGGCCTGTGCCTATGGGGCTGAGGTACCAAGAGCCYCATTGTACAACAGTGAGGAGACTGCCCAGCTGTGAACATGTGGGCCAATGGGCCTGCAAAGGGCTCTTTGCTAGAGCTGYGATGTGGGAGTTGTGTGGGAAACAAGTGGATTAGCTGAGACCAAGAAAAATGATAGCAATTAGCATGAGCAAATCCAATTAGGAGCCACTTGTGGGTTACCATGGGCCTGTCTCTAGAGTGGATRCAGCAGGTATAGCCCAGGAACAGCCCTGCAGCCTGGAAATGCCAGGATGTGGGTCGATCTACCAGGATCCCCTTTCATTAGCAGCCTCTTTTCCTTGGGGCTGGAGCCTGCTGGCTCTGTGCCCCTAATTAGGATGGAGAAATGGATTTAGGCGACTAGTCAGAGGTAGGTTGTTGGTAGTTGGGCTCTGAGCAGGGCCTAGTGGGTAAAGCAGCAATTCTCCCTGCAGTCTGCAGCTTCACAACAAATACTGTCATGCTCTAAAGCTCCTAATCAAGAGCAGGGTCAAAAAGAGTTGCTTCAGTGTCGAGTGTTTTGTGCTTTTTCCAGTGAAAATTCTCCTGAGCTGCAGTTGCCCCYCTCTCATGCTGCTGCCCCATCTGTCGTGCTGTCCTTTACAGCCAGCCATGGTGTTTCTCCTATGCGGGGAGGCTGCGAGTGGAAGGTTTTCCATTGTGGTCCCTCTTCCTCAGTTGTTTTGCTTGGGGCTGCACAGAGAGGGATTCGGGAGCTGCCAGAGAAAGTGGTTTAAAGAAGCACAAAACCACTGCAGCTTGACCTGAATTTGCAATAGCAAAATCTCTGAATGGAAATGAGCAAAGAAGGAAGAACAGGAAAGGCTTTTGGAAGCATTTAACCTCATTCCCTAAACATAATTTAGGAACGAGGAAAACACCTCTACCTCTCACATACATAAAACAGTTTGACTCAAAACCTTCACTTCTGGTAAAATCATTTGTTCTGGAATAGGACCATAATTTGTCACCTACTCTCCTTTTTCTTTTTTTTTTTTTCTGAATTCTTCTTTTTTGGTCCAGCCTCCTAATGCTTTTTCTTCCCCTCCTCCTTTTTTATTCTATTATTTGCCCTATTATAGCAGGTTGAGC